GCTGGTGGCCACACCTGCCGAGGACAACGCTCACACGGGCGACAAACCTCGACAGCATGCAGGATCATCGACTGATCCTTTGGTCACTGTGATCGTGGACATATCGACCATATCGCTCACCGCTGACGAAAAAGCAGCGAACGACAACATGAGGGCAGACCTCTCAGCAGACATTCAAGCAGATGAGCAGATTGAGGCGAGCATACTCGACAACACCATTGACCCGCCATCGGACTTCCTTAACCGTCCAGATTACGACCCCGACGGGGATTCAAGATGGATTAGACAGTCAGAAGACTGCCGTGTATATTGTTGGGCATCGGAGCTGCTGGTGGATTCGCCTATGATCAAGATGAAACAGATCATCGAGATGCACAGTGGCGCGGACAGAATTTTAATGGACAAAACACAATCGCATTTACAATTTGAGATTCGATTTGGATCGAAAGCATGGAATGCAGAGTCATACCAATTGAATTACGATCATACCCACAAATGGGCACGTGACTTACCAAATTGCAGTGCAGACCATTTCTTCAAATAGTTGGTACATTACCTCGACCCAGAGACTATCGAGGAGTCGACCACAGGCATCTTTCAATGTATCTCCAAAGTATACCAGAACATCTTGAAAGATAGTATTGCGGAGCTTCCAGATTTCACCAAAGAGGCCGTCCATGAGAAACATCCTGCACTCCAGGCATTGCGTGACCTATTCAAAAATTGTACTGAGACATACGGTAATCCAGACTTTCCTGTATGGGAAGAGCTGGTGGAAACACCTGCCGCGCCTCGTGAGCAAGGCGCTGAGCAGGATATTCCCCAGGATCCAGGCAGCGTTGCGTCTGCAGCTCCCGATCAGGAAACCATGGTACGTATCATAGCCGAGCAGACGGGACTCAAGCGCGAGGAGGGCGACAACGAGGCTACCTTGCAGGAAAAGACTTGCCGTCTTCGTGAAGAGAACGTATGCCATGGCGGTACCGAGGATACGGGCACCACCAAGATAGAGTACAAAGGACTGCCAGGGGAAAGATTATCTAGGATCGAGATCGAGGGTTTAAGTAGATCAATCGCTTCCCGACCGAACACCGAGACCAATCGTGAGGCGATCAATCAGATCGGCCAGAGCCTCGCTCGCGGTCAGGACACCCGCTGGGGATCCCGCGATCACCTCACGTCGGAAGGGGCCCCCGAGACGATCTTGCATCCCATGCCGCTCTGTCAGAATTGCGGTCGAGATCTGTCCCTTGGGATTGTCACAGGTGACGGCGCACTTTGTGATATCTGTTGGCAGTATACCGTGGCCGTAGGCGCCACGGGTAAGAGCACCGCCACACAGAGCGATCTCGCGTACCTCCAGAAGCTGACGAACTGGATCAAGATGACACTCTGAGGACCACATCGCGAGATACATGAAGGACGGTGTGCACGTCATTATGACGGGTGCGCGATCGCACGCAGGCAATGAGAAAGACCAGTTGCGGAGATTGGCCAATGCGTCCAGAAAGAGGTATCAGAAGTGGGTCGAATCAGGTAGCCCTGCTGCACACAAGTGCAGACTGATGGGCGAAGCCGGTGACGACCGACCTCTGTATTACCCATTCGCCAATCTCGTACAACGCTTTCTCAACGACCTCAAGTTCCGCCACCAAATGACAGGTGCCCGCGTGAACATCGGAAAGAAGCCCTGGACCGTGGAGGACATGCGCGATGCGTGGGACATCCTCGACGTCAGCATTAGGACAGGACAGGCTGGTCGGAGGAAATAGTGGCTGAACGAGGGCCGCCTCGACAGGCAGACGCGGCAGGCTCGCGGACTGGTCACGGTTTCTCTCCCTAGAAGGGACGGAACCCGCGAACAGTTCACTCAGCGTAAGCTTGCCGCGATTGCCAACGAGTTGTTAGGCTCCCTCGATCCGTCGCATACCGACCAAAGGGGGTTTGGTACAGGGATGAGAACCGATCCCGATATACAACCCCACCAGTCCGATGATGCCATGGGGCCGCGCCATCCGCGGCCGCCGCCGCGCCCCGCTCCTGGCGATGCTGCTGCGTCCAGCGCCTCAGGCGCGACTGACTATACGCCCGCGGGGCCACGTGCCAAGAGAGCGCGCGCATCTGACTACGCCGCCTACTGGCGCGACGACCTCGAGGACAGCTACTGGGGCCTCAGGTACTGGAGTTACTACATCAACTGTTGGATCTACATCGCGATCAACAACGATGAGTACGTATACATCCAGGACATCACGTACAATGATTGGTTTCGCAACTGGATCCCGAGAACGGCTTGGGACACATTCACGACGAGCTACGTGACATACAACGGCCAGAGGATGTGGGACCGCAGGTTCTACAAGAACGGCAATGCGTAGTGAGTCGGCCGCAAGGCCCACCGCTCAAGGCACGAACTTCAATATAACCAAAGTTCGCCTTGAGCGGTGGCTATTACATACTTTTAGGCTACTTCATTATATAACACAAGTGGCCACGCACACAAATACCTCTTGCGATGACCGAGGCAGCCCCCTAAGGAGCAAAGCCAACGGGAGTGGCCAAACAGAATCTATATACATGCAGTTTTCGTGTTTATCAACGCGACATCTGGTCTGGCCAGACATTTGCTTTTACACGCAGTTGCGTTTCGTTGCAAGATCGTGTTCGTCAACGCGATCTTAGCTTGCATATCCTTTTGAGTTTAAACCTGATTGCGTCGAGAATAATCTGATAGCTGGTGGCAACACCTGCCTCGCAAATGCGAGGCAGTTTGCATGTTGCTTTAACGCCCAGATCTTCTTTCTCCGCCCACCCTTGTTTCATTCTTCTCCGCCCTCGGGTGCCGAAGCGTTTTGGGGGGCGCACCGAGGTGGGGCCAAAGCGTGCCTGGCGAAGAAAGGGGGGCCCAGGGTGTTCCTTCTAACTTCACTTTGCAGCTGTGGCTTCGCTGATTTTAAGCCCAGCTGCCTTCTGACTTAAGGACCAGAGGAGTAAATGGGTGGCGGATTCCCTTCCTTTGTTCCCGAGTCCTGCCCTCGCGGGCGGGATTCTGGACGGGGGGTGCGAATGGAACCCGCATAATACCCTCATATATACTCATTATCCTTACCTCTCCTGCGCCTGGCCGTTTGGGCTCAGGTATTGAGATAGATCGATCAGACCTTGATCGTGCGGGAGGGGAAGATATCCATCTATCCCTCCTTCTCTCTACCAGCGGATCAGGGGTTCTGTGCCCTTGTACTTCAACCCCATACACATCTCGGAGCCGCTTCGGGCCTCTGATTCCGTCCTTTCCCCTTGCTCTTCCTCTTGGACTGTTTCCTCGCCCTTTGGGGCCCTTTTGGGGCCATATTGAAGTCAGCTTGGGCCGTCTTGGGGCCATCTTGTGGACATCTTGGGCCGTCGGACAGCCGAAAAAGAAAACGCGCCCAAATTATTCAACAATTGAAGGGAATAGATACAACCATTTGGGCATTTCGGGCTCTCCTGGAGGTCCTCTTGAAGACTTCCAAGACTGTCTAGGAGGCCCCTTGCATCCCCTTGGGGCCCTTGGGGCCCTCTGTGGCTGTCTTGGGACATCCTGGGGCTATGTCGAATCGTATCGTTGCCATCTTGGACGTTTTGGAGCCGTCTTGAAGGCCATCGTGGGCGCCTTGGAATTCTCGTGGGCCGTCTTGGAGGCGCCTTGGGGGCCTCTTAGACCGTCTGGAGGCCGCAATGGGGCCGTCTTGGAGGCCTCTTGGGCGCTCTTGGGGCCATCTTGGGGGTCTCTTCGGCGGCATTGGGCCGTCGGCAGGCCGAAAACGTCAAAATCCATCAAGAGCCCACGGGAAATCAGCTGTCTTGGCCTCTTCGGGCCTTCCTGCAGATCCCTTTGGAGGCTTCTTGGACTGCATTAAAAGCCTCCTGGGGGCCTTTGGGGCCGTCCTGGGCCATCTTGGGGCCATCTTGGACGCCTCGGGTGCATCTTGGGCCGTCTTGGAGACATATTGGAGCCGTCTTGGGCTCTCTTGGAGCGATCCTAGCCGCCTTGGAGGCATCTTGGTGACCATATTGGGCCGTTTGGGCCGTCTTGGTGGCGATGTGGGCCACGCCTTCTGGTCCTTCCGAGGGGCAGGCGGTCTGGGCCGAAGGCCATTGGGAAGGGTTTGAAAATCAGAATCTCAGCAAAATGTCTGGCACGCCGTCCAACCCTGTGGCAAGCACAGGGGGCGGCGGATCCAAGACGCCTACGGCGAATCACCGCCGCCCCCAGCCTTTTTGAGAAGCGCCGATGTGGCCAAACGTTGGGCCCCAGCTTGGCCAAGCTATCTGATTATGTATTCCCCCAGCCGCTCCGGAAACTCTTCGGGGAACGCTTGGGGGAGGCTGAGGGGGAGGATCAGGAGAGGGAGGAAGAGGATGACAAGGAGGAGGGGAAGGAGGAGGAGGAGGAGGAAGCCTCTTGGGAGCCTCTTGGGGCACTCTTGTGGGGCCTCCTGGGGGCTTCCCGGGGGGCCTCTCGGAAGCCTCTTGGGGGCCTCCTTAGGCCTCTTGGGGGCCGTGGGGGCGTCTTGGGGGCCTTTCCTTGGCAGTCTTAAATCGTTCCTAGCCCGTCTGACGGGCCTGACGCCGTCGGAAGCCGTCTTGGGGGCCTCTCTGAACCGATGTGGGGTCCTCTTGAGGCGCTTCAGGGCCGTCTTGGAGGCCATGGGCCTCCTGGGCCGTCATGGGGCCATCTTGAAAGCTTCCTGGGCGCACTGGGGGCGAGGAGGAGGAGGAGGAGGAGGAGGAGGAGGAGGTTGAGGAGGAGGAGGAGGAAAAGGAGGAATAGGAAGACAAGGACCTGGAAAAGCAGGCGAAGAGGGAGTAGGAAGAGAAATAGGGAGGAGGACCAGGAGAAGGAGGCATGGGGTAGGAGCGAGGAGACACAGTCGGACAACGAGAGACAAAGTCGGAGCAACCCCCAACCCCCAGAGTCTGGGGGCGCCCCAGAGTCTGAACAGCATTTTTTTCAGATCAATTGATCGTCAAGTTCATGCCCTCGTAAATATTGCAGACTGCCGTAGGTATTACGTTGATCGCGCCGTCGAGGTCGGCGGCGCGGGGGGCCGTCAGCATGAAGCACTCGTCGTCGACGAATGCGGCGTCGACCACTGGTATGGTGTCTTCGGCGTGGTCGGCGCCGCTCTCTGGCGGCGCCCAGAACGCGCCGCGTCCTTTCGGCAGCCGCAGCATGATGCCGGCGTCGAGCGAGGCATCCCGGATCAAGACCATGGCCAGGGAGAACGTGCTGTTGAATACCATGGCGCCGTATTTGCAGCCCTGACGGCCGCCGACCAGCGCGGCGACGGCGGTGTCGCAATCGCCGTGAGAGAACCGCGAGGCCGCGCGCATGTTCTCGAGCAGCCGGATCACCTTCGGCGGCACGCCCTTCTGCTCGAATAGGGATCCATGGCGAGCAACCCAAGTAGCAATCCACTGAGCCTGATGATCGTTGAGACCGAGGTCTCGCAGATATTGCTTTGGGTATGTGGAGACATGGGGCCAGCCCAGAACGATCTCGCGCACGACCCGGTCAAACGCCTTGACAAGGTCCACGAACCAGACGAAGCATGAGAGCCCCTGGGCGGTGCAGTAGTCGCAGAAAGACCGGGCGAGGTGTGCAGCGAGGTCGGTGCCGCGGCCAGCAAGAGCCCCATGCTGGGACTCAGGCGTGTGGGCGTTGTACATGGGGGTCACGAGGCCACTGAGGTGCTGCTGGAAGCCTTTGGCCGCGTGGTCCTCGAGGACAATCCCGCGGGGCTCGTCGCGCTCCTCGCGCGGCCCCTTCTTCTTGTATACGTTCTGCATGCGCCCGCCTGTCCAGGAGGTTGGCCAGCGCTCGCCGTCGATGATGTCCTCGAAGATGGACGCCAGGGGTTCGTTGACGGCGTCGCCGCCGGCCACCAGCAGCTCCGAGGGGGCGCCATCGCGGCCTACCCCCTTGTTGCGCCCAAGCTGGAGGAGCGACGCGCCCACGGCATCGGGGAGGGCGGCGATGCTGCTGGCGAAGGGGTCCGGCGGAGGCGTCGGCTTGAGCTTCAGCTCGGCCATGGTGACCGGCCTGCCATTTAAGACGTCCCGGAAATGTTCCTGCCAGCGCCCCTGCTGCCCCGCCTCGGTGCTGGACAGAGCTCCAGACTCTCACTTCAGGCGGATTGGATGCGCGGGGGAGCTGGCGCTCCGACCACTGAGCGCGCGCGATACCAGAGGTCTCGCGCCAATCCCGGCGAACGGCGGCCAGCTGCGCCTCCTGAGCGTTCGTCTCGAGGAAGAGCTGGCGGTCGAAGTGGATGAAGTGACGTACTAACGCTGTGAGCTGGCTGCAGAGGCGGGCGGCGGCGGCGTTCAGCAGGCGCCACTGCTGCCGGAGTGCTCGCAGGGAGGGGGGCGCGCACTTGGCCGCCCAGCCCAATCGCGTGGGGGGGGCGCTAGTCAACGAGAACGTGGAGGGGCACAGGGCTGCCCAGCTCAGGAAGGCGAGGCGGCAATGCGCCTTGAAGATCTCGGCGCGAGCCCGGTACATCGTCCTGCGCGACGGGGCCAGGGTACGGAGCAGCCGCCATGTGTCTCCAGATATCCACGGCTGGCGGGGTTGATCTTACGGGCGGCCATAGGCTTGCAGTGCCGAGGAACGGGCGTGGTCCATGAAGGTCGTGGTCTTGTCGTCAATGTGGCCATGGGTCGACAGGCGCAGCTCGGACGTGCGTCGCGCGAACTGCTGCGCGCGCGCGGTGTCGCCGAGGCGCCACTTGTTGAAGCGGAACGGCGCGGGGGGGAACGCAGTGTCGCCACCGCGCGTGGGGGCGGTCTTGTGTGCAGCGACCATGCGGTGGTCCTCGCGCGTAGCGATGGACAGCTGAACCTGCTTGGGGGCGCACGCTTTGTGGACGGCCGGGAGGTCCACTAAAGGTCCGCACAAGTAATCTATATGCGACGCGGGGCCCTTCCCAGAGCGCCAAGTGTAGTCGACATTGAAGAAAGTGTTCAGGGCGGCCAGCTGGAGTTCCTGGAGCGCGGCGATAAGCGCAGCGCCGTTCTGGGAGATCTCCTCAGGGTCACGCGGCCCCGTCGCGCCAGAGTGGCGTGGGCCAGCGCGCGCATTGGCGTCGATGCCCATGTAGATCTCGGCGGTGGGCGCGCGGCGTTGCAGGGGGGACGTCGTGCTCAGCCGCGTGTCCCAGAATCCCTCGCATTCAGTGGCTGGCGATGCCTCAGTGGGGGCGTGCGCGCTGACAAGGATCAGCGGCAGCCCGCAAGCGTCGCGGCCTGTCAACCAGAACAGACGGGGGGACACCGTTGCGTACGAGGAGACTTTGAAGCCCGACTGGGCGCGAATCCAGATCTGGCACCCGCGGCCGCCGTCGTCGTCGCCGGCCCCGACGTGCATGGTGTAGCGGAGGCCCGTGCGAACCTCTTCGACACGAGCGCGCCCTTCCTGCAGGAAGACGTAGTCGAGGTGAGCATCAATGAAATACTGCTCGAGGATCTGGACCTTCCCAAGCATGAGCTGGAAAGCGACCTGGACGCCAGCAGCGGATTCCTCCTGCGGTCGGAGGGTACAGACGTTGCCGGTGGCAATGGTCTGCTCGGAGGCGGTGCGCGGAGCTCGGCGAGAACTGCGCATCGTGGTAGCCGCGGGAGGGCCATGAGAGCCAGCCAGCGGTGTGCGTGTAGCAGTGCACGTAACGGTCTGGACGCCTGTGGCGCCCGCCTGTGGACAGCAGCTCCGGACCACATGTCGCGCCGGAGGCGGGGCGGAAATAGGAGAGGTAAGCAGCTCCCCCAACCATGAACATGAAGGGGTGCACTTGAAACGGTAGTTGGCGGCGCAGCGCCAGGCACAGCACAAGCGCAGACGGCGCCTAGGGCCCCTGACCTGGGCCATCCGCTGGCACAGGAAACCCCGCCGCCGACCCAGCAGCGCGGCGGCCTGCGGCGGAGCTGGCCGACGTGTCCTTGGTGATGGACTTCACGACCTTGCGCTTCGTGAAGTAATCGGTGATCAGCTCCTTGGGCTTCTGCTTGCCATGGTGCCGCACCAGAGAACCGCCGGCAGGACCGCGCGCTGTCGTGGGCGTCGCAGCCGCAGTCGCCATCGTCTTCACGCTGTAGCCGGCAGGAGTGGGCTGGGCCCCCGCGGCAGCAGCACGAGTGGCCGGGGCCTGGTTCAGCGTGGCCTGGAAGCCCTCGAAAAGCTGCTGGACGTGCTGCGTCGCTGCCTGGACGTGGCCAGGGTGGACGCGCTCGCCCTGCTTCAAGTGCTCGATCATCTGGTTCAGGATCTCGAATGCGCGTGACGCTGGAGCAGGCGCCTCCACCGCCATGGGAGGGGCAGCGGCCAGGGACGCCTCGAGCTCGCTAAACTCGGCCTCCAAGACGGTCACCTCGTCGGTGGACTGCTTGGCCAAAAGCGTGGACGCCTTGAGGGCCTGCTCGGCCTCCTCGCGGCGAGCCCGCGCACGTCCCAGCGCAGCCCTCGCGCCGTCGATGCGGGCGCCGATCGGCTTGGAGCCCACGATCTGGCGCTTGTAGTCGTCGAGGCGCGTAGAGAGCTAGATGCGCTTGGAAGCCAACTCGGCATCGTCCTCGGGGATCGTTGCCAGAACATGCTCGAGCTGCTTGACGCGGTCCTGGAGCTGGGCTTTGGTCAGCACGTCGCCCTGGGAGTGGACGGGGCCCTTCGCCGGCGAGCGCTCCGCGGGCGAAGTAATAGTAGGTGACTCGTGGAGCTTGGTCAGCGTGTCCGCGATGGTGGACAGCTGCGCGCGCACTGGATTCTGCTGGGATGCAGCCGTGGAAGGTGTAGAAGGTTTGGGGCCGTTCTTGACCACCTCGCCGTGCGTGCGCTTGAGCCCGCGTGTCTGGCACGCCTTCGGACTCGTGTTCACATGGCGGCACTGGCTGCAGGTCCAGGAGCGCGCGGTCGAGGTCGACAACTGGTTCCTGGCAGAGCCGTGCGCTCCAATGTAGTGCCAGCGACCGCTGGGGTCGCGCTTCCACTCTGAGGTGGAAGGCGACTGCGCCGGAAAAGAATACGAAGAAGAGTGCCCGCGAGACGGCCGAGTCCATTGCGCCATCGGCTCAGCCCCAGCTGAGAGGATCACAATACGAGGGACGTTTGCAAAGTGGGCACTGTAAATCGGGATGTAGACTTACGATCAACTCAAGCTGGTGTAGCTTGAGCCAGAATGGCTACGGATAGAGAAACGTATACTTAGGTCCGCCGCGTTGGAGTCATGCCCCAGGATATCACGGAGCGGTGGACGTTGCATCTGCGCACCCCCGTGGCCGGCGAAGTGCCAGCGCCCGCGGCTCCCAGGCCGTGGATACGGGCGTTTACTGGCGGTACATCCGCCCAGAGCCCCTCTTTTTTTCTGTTCTTCCTCCCCTCAAGGGACTTCACGTTGAGTTTTATAAGACAGTGGAAGGACGAGTGCATGTATTTCCACGCCGTATGGGTGAGCTCGTTGCTTGCGTGAACTAGGCCGAAGTACGTATTTTTTCGTCAGCGACGAGGCGGGACTGCACCAGCGAGCGGCGATCGGGGTCAACCGATGCGCGACTTGGCCAGCGTGCAGGAAGGGGCGACAAGACAGACAGGGCGTCCACGAAGGACATGAGAAGGCGGAGGGTATTCAGACGCGGACCAATTCCATGCTGAGTGCGCCGGCGGGCGCGGCCAGCAACGGCAGCGGGGGCCGCGGCAGCAGCTGGGCCGCGGCGTCGGTGCACCCGCGGGCGATGCCGATGTTCAGTGCGAGGTAGAAAGCCAGATGCCGCCCAGGGCGGGGTCTGTCCACGTTTCCTTCTCCCCAGGCGCACACGATGTAGCTGCGTAGTCGGTTGGCTTGCCGCTGCCCCCGCCAAGCGGGGGGCGTTCGCCGACGTGCCCCAGCGAATTGCTTGACTGACTGACTGACACTTGACTCTCCCAAGGAAATATGGGAGTCAGACGGCCAGGCATGACGCGCGGACTACTGGGGCGGGACCGTCTCCGAATAGAGGATTTTTTCCCGCAGGAAAAACCGTCTCGATGCCAAGGCTTCTTGTCGTGTATGCGGGTGGTGTTTCGGGGGCGGTTTGCGGGTCTGGCCTTCCCAGACATTGATTGGTTTACAATATCGCAGAAAGTCTGGTGCGGAACGAAAATGATGTGTGTTAGATGCTCACGGCGGGCCTCCTCAAACATGGCCTTTTCCGCGCATATTGTTTTCATGGCGCGCAAGCATACCCAAACCTCGATTCCCGCTCGTGCCCACGCTTGGATTCGAATCCGATTCGTGCGTGACCCTGGATTTGGGGCCATGGTCGGGCCGAGGCTGCGGCCCATATGCAAATATCAAGAGCCCGCCCAAACTCATATCCATGTTTGGGTCTGGGCTCGGACTCGGAAGCCCAAGCTGCGGCCGAGGCTCGTATCAGGATGCGGACCGTGGATCAGACGGGCGCGTGGCTTTGACACAGAGTCGGGTTCAGCCTCAGACGCACATGCACGCGAACCCAAGCGTCGTCCCATCATTCCATGGTGGCTGCACAGGGCGTCGGAGGGTTGTGCTTCCCCACATTCACTTACATGCATTTCCCGTTGTGGCACTTCGTTTTGTTGTTTCCACCCATTTTCCCCAGTGGCACTCTGTTTTATTCAGTTCCCCACATTTTCTTTCAGTGTCAGCCATTGTTCGTTTACATTTCAGTTTTTTTTCTTTCGCCGACAGTTCCCCTCAGTTGTATTCAGTTGTTCCTCTACATGCAGTTGCCCGCCTTTACACCCAGGTTCTATCAAATGCACCCTGTTTCCACTAGTTACACACAACTTGCTTCAAATACGTACAAATTGTACGGAGCTGGATTGACTTCCCAACATGTGTCAGCGCAGACCGCGAGAAATGGAGGGGAAACTTGGTGCAACAGTTGGCGCCCCGTTATTCACACGCTTCTTCTTGCTGAAATGAACCGAGGGGGCATTGAGTGTAACAGGGTCCGCCCCGTTACCTTCAGTTTCCCGTTCTTCCCGCCCACCGCCGAAGCTGGCGGGGGAGGGCTTGTTGCAATTCTGTAAACAAACTTGTTTTTACATGATTTCCCCTCGTCATTTTGATGACCATCATCACCACCATCATCATTACCATCATCACCGTTATCATCGGGAGTCGGAATCGATCGCGCGAAGCCGTGGGGTCCATCAGGGGCCGAACCATCGGATACCAGGCGAGGTCATGGGAGGTTCGCCTCCGCCCACCGCCGAAGATGGCCGGCGGGAGGGGGTCGGGGAACGTCTCGTCTCCTCTCGTCTCGTCTCGTCTTCTTTTTTTCATTTTACCCATGGGGAGGGTCGCTATGTCCCCGCTGCTCCTCATCGTCGGGGGACGGGGAACCTATCGTCTCCTCTCGCGTCGTCTCGTCTCGTCTCCTCCGTTTTCCCTGGGAGGGTGTTTACGTCCCTGCTGCTCCTCCTCCTCATCGTGGGGGGGGAGTTCGGCGAACGTCTCGTCTCCTCGTCTCGTCTCCTCGTCTCGTCTCGTCGCTTCTCGTCTCGTTTCGTCTCGGCTCTTCTCGTTTCGTCTCGTCTCGTCTCGTCTCGTCTCCTCGCCTCCTCCTCCGCCTCCCCCTCCCCCTCCCCCTGCCCCTCCCCCTCCTCCTCCTCCTCCGCCTTCTCCTCCTCCTCCTCCTCCTCCCTGTCCTCCTCGGTCCTCGTCCTCCTCCTCGTCCTCTGCCTCCCGCGGGGGAGGGTGTCTATGTCCCTGCTGCTCCTCGTCCTCCTCATCGTCGGAGTCCAGTGGCGAGCTGGGGCAGGCGCCGCGGATCGGGGGGCGGAGCGTGAGCCTTTGCTCGCGTCGTGACCCCGGGACGCCTCAGGCTTTCGCGTCGGAGGAGGGAGAGATACCGACGCCGCTTCCTTTGCCTCGTTTTCCTTTTTGGGGGCCTCCTGGGAGGCCCTCAACGCCACCGCCGGGTTCGCCTCGACGCTGTGGTCAGAACGCGCCCCAAGATAGGTCCGGGGAGTGGCTGTACCGGTACTTATTTGCTTCCCCAGCATGTGCATGGTATAGACGGCGTTTGGGTGCCCGTGCTGGGGGGCGGCCCGCTGTTTCAAAGCCTTCCCCCCAGCCGTCATTTTGATCC